CTGGGGAAGATGAACCCGTGCTCCCGAAGAGACTGAAAGCCACTACGCTAGCTCGCCAGCTGTACTACCTGGCATTTCGCGCGCGTGCTTTCCCCATTGCCTTTCAGCTGTATTTGATTAACTGTGGGCAATAGGTCTCGATTTCAAGGGTGCGCGGGAGGTGCGGTTGCGGGAAAGTTGCTGGGTTCCAACACCGCGGTCTATGGAAGAGGCCCGCGGGTGGCGGGTAGGCTGGGAGCTCTCGGTACTCCGCGGTCCCTGCGCGCGGGAACGCGCAGCGCTCTCCCCAGGGCGGAGCAGTACCTGCCCTGGTCACCTCGCCCACCTCGCGCCGGGCATGTTCTTGGCATTTGAGAGAAACCCGGGCAAGAGCTGTGGAAGGAGGGACTGAGCCTCCTGGACGAGACTGCAGACTCTAGGGTAGGCTGAGACCCACCGGGGGAAAGGGAGAAGGGGGGCTCTCTGTCCCCAGCCCACGGGGTGGGACACGCTATTTTGCATTCGCTCTGGACTTCAGGTTGGGCGCTTAGAAGAGCCAGAGGCCTAGATCGAGGGAGCTGTAGCCGGGACTCCGACCTCGTTAGGAAGAGGAGCCTTAAGGACCAAGGCCTCTTCTTGACAGCTTCTGCTTCAGGAAACCTACAGGAAGGCAGGAGAGGCCCGGGTGCTTCATGGTCTCACTGTCTTGGCCCTCAAACTCTGAACGTCCTAGGGGGTAGGGCCTGTGCTTGGAGAGAGTAATCTTCATTTAAAAAACAACCCCAATCTCATAAAAAACAACCCCAATCTTAGTCTAAGATGGCCGGAGCTGTTACTTTACAGGAATCCAGGCCGCTGGAGAGAATGACACTGTTGTCCTGTCTGGCGTCTCTTCTTCTACAAGGCACAACACTCCTGACGCCGGTGATGCTGGAGCTCGCTGGCTGATCAGACCTGGGGCTGGGGAGCGCGTAGTGTGGGTGCTAACCTTCCAGTGACTGTAGTCCAGCTTGGGCCTGATCAAGAAAATGTTTCTTATACATAAAGAGCTATTAAAAACAGATTCCTTTTGGTTTTAATTAGTGAAATATTTAATGCTATTTGCGATTTTAAATAAATTTAAGTGTTGATGTTAAGAAACACTTCCAGCAGAGGCTCCATAGCTCAGGGGTTAGAGCACTGGTCTTGTAAACCAGGCGCTCTCCCCAGGGCGGAGCAGTACCTGCCCTGGTCACCTCGCCCACCTCGCGCCGGGCATGTTCTTGGCATTTGAGAGAAACCCGGGCAAGAGCTGTGGAAGGAGGGACTGAGCCTCCTGGACGAGACTGCAGACTCTAGGGTAGGCTGAGACCCACCGGGGGAAAGGGAGAAGGGGGGCTCTCTGTCCCCAGCCCACGGGGTGGGACACGCTATTTTGCATTCGCTCTGGACTTCAGGTTGGGCGCTTAGAAGAGCCAGAGGCCTAGATCGAGGGAGCTGTAGCCGGGACTCCGACCTCGTTAGGAAGAGGAGCCTTAAGGACCAAGGCCTCTTCTTGACAGCTTCTGCTTCAGGAAACCTACAGGAAGGCAGGAGAGGCCCGGGTGCTTCATGGTCTCACTGTCTTGGCCCTCAAACTCTGAACGTCCTAGGGGGTAGGGCCTGTGCTTGGAGAGAGTAATCTTCATTTAAAAAACAACCCCAATCTCATAAAAAACAACCCCAATCTTAGTCTAAGATGGCCGGAGCTGTTACTTTACAGGAATCCAGGCCGCTGGAGAGAATGACACTGTTGTCCTGTCTGGCGTCTCTTCTTCTACAAGGCACAACACTCCTGACGCCGGTGATGCTGGAGCTCGCTGGCTGATCAGACCTGGGGCTGGGGAGCGCGTAGTGTGGGTGCTAACCTTCCAGTGACTGTAGTCCAGCTTGGGCCTGATCAAGAAAATGTTTCTTATACATAAAGAGCTATTAAAAACAGATTCCTTTTGGTTTTAATTAGTGAAATATTTAATGCTATTTGCGATTTTAAATAAATTTAAGTGTTGATGTTAAGAAACACTTCCAGCAGAGGCTCCATAGCTCAGGGGTTAGAGCACTGGTCTTGTAAACCAGGGGTCGCGAGTTCAAATCTCGCTGGGGCCTAAAAGAGAACTCTTTTAACAGGTTTCAGAGGGAGAAGTTTTCGCTCTTCACTTTGATCTGTTGTTGAAACTGACTTGTTAAAGAAACGCAGGACGTATTGTTCCGGGAAAACCCGGTTCCTCCTAATGCTCGACTCCGCGAAAATAGATGTTTGTACCCTTCATCTAAAGGCGCGGGGGAGGGGACAGATTGCTCACTTCACTTCTGAGAAAAAGGTCCCAGAGCTAGCATACACACCTCTGTGTTTGCGGAGGAGAACGAATCAGCCTTGGCCCGCTGAAGAGCCCTGAACGATCGAGTCCTACGCGCTTCCCCACTTGCAGACTGCTTAGCTCCCATTTCCCCGGCACTCCGGGAATGAGAACTGGTTCGCGTAACTATGGGGGGAGCCTAATCTGCAAACTACACCCACACACCCCAATCTGAGTGGTTTCTACTCTGCTTCCAACCTCAGTTCCTCGAATTCAGACATCGCGTCTACTGCCTAAAGGCTGCTCCCGGTGTTCAATTTACTGTAGACCCAATTCTCTGAAAACATTTTGAACTCGATCCTTAAATACAAAAGAAGCGGAGCCTCGCTCTAGCTGCTCCTAAATGCACAAAGATGTACGCTAATCCGGGACACGTTGTACCCTTCGATAGCTCCAGTGGTAGAGCGGAGATCCGTAGGGGTTTTTGAGCTTCCTGCTCTCCTTAGGTCGCTGGTTCAGCTCTGGCTGGAATGAAGAATACGAGTATTTTTGCCTGATCCTCTTCTCATTTTTCAGATTTTAATTCTATTTTCGGGCAACAAGGGAACGTCTTGCTGATCGTGAACCTTAATTTTGCTATTTGCTTTGTGACCCTGTGCTAGATATGACTTGGCTTACTCGGGTGATGTGAAATAACGACGTTCATTTCATATTTGAGTCTACTATCTCCTAATCTTTGAAACTAGCTAGCATTGACTAAATATTGAGTAATATCTCTTAACTTCACCTCCACCCCTACACTTCTTAGTACCATAAATAAAAATTCTTACTAGGCAATTCAGGGTTTAGGGAGAAATACTTAAGAAAGGTTTGTCCTTTGAAAGGGTGTAAACAGTGTAGAGAACAAGCAGTGCAAAGGTCAATATGCATAAAGAAAAAGTTCTTCATTAATAAGAAAGAAATGCTAATTAAAATGAGGCTTTTTTTGGCCACCACATAACAAAGTACTTACTAATATCTAATTCTGACAAAATGTAGTGACAAGGGCATTTTTGTAAACTGCCATTACTTTTCTGGAGAACATTTTGGGCATTATATATCAAAAACCTTTAAAAAGGCATTGCATTTGATCGAATATTCCATTACTACTTCCATAAATTTATCTTCTAAAAATGAAATAAAAAAGAAATACAATGTGAAAATTTGTTTTTATGTGGGTGATTGATATTCTTTATACTTTTATGTAGTTTTTTAAATGTGCCACTTGTCTACATTACATGTTTTTAAAATTTTACAAAATAAAATCTAAAATACGCTGTGCCATTATGGAAGACAGTTTTGTAGTTTCTTTAAAAATTAAACATTTCCCATACAATCCAGCAATTACATTCCTAGGTTCTTACCCAACCAAATTACTTGAAAACTGACATCTACTTAACAATCCATGCATTAATGTCTATAGCATCTTTATTCACAATTGCCAAAACTTGAAAGCAACCAAAGTGTCTTTCATAGGAGAATGGATAAATTTTAGTACATCTAGACAGTAGGCTACTATTTAACACTAAGAATAAATGAGTAGTCAAGTCATAAAAAAGGCTTGGAGATAAACTTAAATGCATATTACTAAGTGAAAGAAACCAGTGTGAGTAGGCTTTACTGTATGATTCCAGCTATATGAATTTTTGAGAAGGCAAACCTATGGAAAGAGTAAAAAGTTGAGTGGTTTTTAGGGGTCAGAAGGAGAAAGAATGAGTAAGGGGAGCACAGAGGAAATACAGGGCAGTAAGACCACCCTGTACGCTACTAGAATGGCAGACACATGCCATTACACATTTGCGCAAACTGATAGAAAGTACGACACCACAGTTTCATGTGAACCATGCACTTTGGTTAATAATGATGTATCGTGTTGGTTAACAATACCAGTAAGGAAAGCCGGGTGTGTATTGGGGAGGAGGAGAGGAAGAGGGAAGTATGTAAAAAATGCTGTATTTTCCATTCAATGTTGCTATAAATCTGAAAGTACTCTTAGAAAAGTAAGCCTATTTATTAAAAAAAAAAAAAAATCCCCTGGATGGCTTAAATACTGCAGTTAAGTTGAAGAAATAAAATAGATAAGGTATTGACATATTGATACTACAAATAAACACTTACTAAACAGTATGGGAGCACATTCAGGACAATGAAGCAAGTGATTCAGAATGACCCGAGGAACTGAAGAGAGCGTTCTTAAATGGAAAAAAAAAAAAAAAAGGAATTGTGCTTCTTTAAACCGTATTTTAAGTTTTTTCAAAACAAGGCCCTAGAAACCCCCAGTTTCAAGTATGCCCCAGGCTTGGTCCACTCCTGTGGAGTCTTGGGGAACCTTGTACAAGTTTGGGTTATTCATTCACGAACATTAAAGCCCAGTATAGATGTGATGAAGCTGGGCTCCCTCCTCTGTGGTATATGCTGAATTTCAGAGAAGGCAGCAGCCAACATGGAAAATGCTGGAACTTTTCTTTACAACTGGGCTGTGATGAGGGGGTTTGTGTTACGAACATAAACTACTGTGTTTTTAAGACTCTTCCTTTCGGGTTTCTGAAATTGGACCAGACAAGATAATCTTCTTTAAAGATACAATTCAAAAAGCCAAAAGCACACCTTCCAACACCCTGTGCTTTCAGGTATTCTGGACCTAGTTGAGCTGGCGGATGAGCTGACTGATGCGTTCACCCAATAGCCAGGTGAGCCATCTCCTTGAGGAAGCCCACTTGGTTCTTGGTGACATGACGGGCCACCGAAAGGTGAAAAGGTCACAAGAAACATGACATATCTTGGAAATACTTCCCGGGAAGGCAATTTCATGAATGAGGTCTTCTAAACAGATGACGCCAAACCTCCCTAGATGCTCCTCAATCACTGTGTTCTCTGTGTTTTCGGTTGGAGGAAGGGTTTTTTTTTTTTTTTTTTTTTTTTTTTTGAGAGATTTTCGCTATAGGGTGAGGATGGTCACGCCGCAATCCCTTCTCCTCCATTCTCCTCTCGGGATCTTGGGCACACACGCACACGGTGTGAGTTTTAAGCCACCAGGTCCGGGACGCGAACCGCACTCGACTACGTGGAAGTCCAGCGACATAGCCATTACGCTAACTGCTGGTTCCCAGGAATGGTCTTATTCTTGACCTTGGCTTGCCCACGTTTCAAGGTGAATTCCCAGACAGATTTCAGATTTGGAAATCCCCAGGTCACATAAGGTTCCACTAGTTGCAGTGTTTTTAGGCTCTGAGGAGTGACTTTGACAAAAACACCACTGAAAATTTTCTTCAGACGCAGTCTCGCGATGGTCTTCTGCACCACTGAACTCACCCCATCAGTCCTCTTGATGCGCCCAGCAAAGGCCAATGAATGTTTATCGGGCATTTCCAAAGCCTGAGGTTTCACTTCAAGTCATCTGAAACGTACCATGTCTCGCTTCTTCCGCCAGGAATCATTTAAGAATGATTCCAGTCGCTTAAATCTGGGCCCTTCTCTTTCCTCTGCTCTTTTCTTGCCAAAAGTGCTTGCTTTGCTTGGGTGGCTTTGAGGGCTTGATAAGCCTTTCTCTTTTTCAGGAGATTTTCTGGAACCAAAGGGATCTTTTTCCTTCACTCTGGCTCTGCCATCTTTGCAGTGTTACTGGTACTACTCTTAAATGAAATTTTGAGCTAGAATTTGACAGAAATATTGACATATGCTTAAATGAGCAAGGGAGCTTTTAGGTATGAATGTGTGGAAGAATGACAAAAAAATTAGGGTGCCAGATAGTTCCAGAGAGGTGACAGGAAAAGAGCCAGAGAGGAGTGGGGCTAGGGGGCTTGTCAGCAGTGGCAGGCTGTAACTGAGGATGACAGGGGATGTCAACAGGAGTAAGATGAGGGGACAGAAGGAAGGATAGGGGTTCAGAAATAATTTGGTGGTGGCAGAAGGGATGGGGTAGAAGAAAGCAGGGAATGGTAAGTGGTGTGAGTGAACAGTAGCAGAAACAAGCAGGCATCCTTCCACCAACATGGAGATGGACCTGGCTGGAACAGAGGGATGAGAGGTCTGCAGACAAGAGGCAAAGGAGTAAAACAGCACGCACCAAAACACGGCAAGGTGGTGCTCCTGAGAGTTAGGAAATGCTGGTGTCATTGGAGAAGGTGGAGCATGCTGGGAAAGTGTACGATTGGGGAGGGGAGCAATGGACGGGTTTACCCTCTTTTGGAGGGAGCCGCGGCCTGATAGATGTTCCAGGCAGATGAAAACATCAAACTAGAGCACTCAAGTTCCTGAGAGCTATTACAGAGAGATGAAAAGCAAAACTTAAATAAATCTCAGGATAATGCGCTTAAGTTAATTTCAGGAAGAAGGAAAAACAAACAAACATTAGGACTCAGAACAGTTGTCCCATGGAGAGAGGAAGGACAGTGACATGGAAATGATGCAAAAAGGAGGATTTTATAGAAATGTCAGAGATACCTAGTTTATCCATAGGTACAGAGGTTTCTTTGATTTTGTTTTGTTTGTCTCCCTTCCCCTGTCACTGGGCACTGCAACAAAGTAAGCCTGATCTCTCCATTTCTGAGGAAAAAAGCAGCCTCTTTTGTGGAGTTCTTGGTGTGTCTGTGTGTGTGTGGGGGGGGATCAAGATACTTTTTGAGAAGAGGGTGAAAAGGAGGGAGGAGTTTATCCGAATGAAATAGGAGGGCACCTGGCTGGGCAGGAAGAAGATTTTGAATGAGGAGGGTGAAAGATATAAAAAAGGAGAGTAGAATCCAAAAACGGCATGACAAAATCTAAGATCTTGGTTCTTGCACAGAGTCTTACTTCTCTGCCCTGTTGTTCAATTCATGTCTCCTGCAGAGTCAAATTCTAATTCCAAATAACCTTACCTGCCCTCTCTCTGCTCCCCATGAGGTAATGAGGCTGCACAAGAGCACAAGTCTGATCAATTTTGATTTTTTGCATTCATTCATCATATTCAATTACAAAATTTATGGGATTAAAATCAAAATAAGGTCTGCACAGGATTATTTTGCGATCACAGTGTGCAGCCAGTAAACCAGCACTGGCGGTGGTCTGGTGGGCATTGGCCTTGGGGGGTGGTGGTGCAGTACCTGGGAAATTGTCCTGACCAGATGGTACCGAAATAAGAATGACTCCATGGGAGCATGGTTTTGAGAGAACTGAAATTTCCCTGTTGAGGGTTTGAAAACAGTTTAAAAGCTTGAAGTTCAGATAGGTGCAACTAACAAGTCTGGGTAGGGTATGTCAAGAGATCAGGGTAACCTGTATAACTGGAAGATTTTAAGATTTTTCAATAGGAAATGGAATGACTTTACCTCGAAATCCTATAAATACAGATTTAGAGATGAAATGATATTTAGTAGGGGGAAAGAAGGTTTTGTTTAGGAAAGGGCCTTTTCTAACACTGCTTGTACTGTATTAAATACCTCACTCCCTTTTTAATCTGCATAGTCACTATGACTAAAACATACCACTGGCAGTGGTGGGATTCGAACCCACGTCCCCGAAGAGACTGGAGCCTAAATCCAGCGCCTTAGACCGCTCGGCCACACTACCACATACAATGGCAGCCATCGTAATTACTTCATCTCTGAGCCTTTTGCTCAGTTTGCAGCCGGTAGAACTCCGGATTTTCCCCACTGGAGGCAGAACTCCGCGCAGCGTTCCCGTTCCTCCCTGGGCAACTGAACAAACTTTGAGAAAGGAGGAATCGCCACTTTCTCACGCCTTGCGAAGTTCTTGGTGTCTGGATCCAGAAATTCTCCTAGGAGTATAAAAAATTCCCGGACTTTGCGTGCACTCTCCCTCCCTCGCCCCAACCTCAATGAGTCCCAAACCACCGCCCTCCCTTCTCGTCCGAGGCCTCTCCGCGGTCTCTGCCAAGCCCTGAGGAGTCCAAGGTTCGGGGTCGGGGTGGCAGAGACAAAGCCGTTCCCTGAGCTACATGAGCCGACGATCCTGCTGGCTCACGAGTGTTGCTGCCAGGAACTGCCGGGTGGGGGACAGCAGAAAGGGCCCAGGGGCGCGGGAGGAACGGAGAACGCAGGTGGGGAGCCCGGCGGCCGGGAGCGCCCGGCGCGGTGCGAGTCGGCTGTGCGGAGCCGCGGACCCACCCGCGCGGGTGCCGGGCCCCGCCACTCTGCCGCACCTCCCACGCAGACCGCGCTAACGCTGCTTCTCTGCTGTCGCCGCCACTCGTGTCCCGGTCCCAGCGCACAGGCAGGCAGCGCTCCCTGGCGCGGCCCCGGGAACCTACCGCAGCCGGGAGAGGCGCGCGCAGAGGTGGCCCGCACCCCTGGGCGGTGGGCAGCGCCTCGCTGGCTCTGAGTCTAGCGGGGTGGGGCGGCTTCCTCCGTCACTTGGGCAGAGTCAAAGTGCCAGGCCCCCGGGCTAAACTTATGCCTTCTAAGAAATTGCACTTCGTGTTTCCACACTTCGAGGAACCCTCAGGGGGAAGGGGAGTGTGAGTTCATTGCCTCCATCGGCACAGGCGGCTTCGCCGGCGTCAGCCTGGAGAGACTTCCTCGGAAGTTAGACTCACCGCCCGCGTCGCGACCGCCTCTCGGTGCACGTTGAGGAAGCGTCAGGATGGAGGAGAGAACAGGGCCTGCCGTCTGGGCTTCACAGGGCCTTGTGGGTGGATGCGAGAGAAGAAAACAAATATTTAAAACATCTGTTGGACTCTGTTATGTGTAGTACTGAGCCAGACGGGTGACCGGGGGTCTACGGAGGGGTCGGGCCTAAGCGGCCTTATGTGGAGACTATCCGTGAGTGCTCCAGCCGAGGTTACATTTGTGGCTCTCTGTGTTGTAAGTGCTAATCGCTAAACATAGCCGTTTAAAAACCCGCAGCTTCTGTTCGTATGCTTTGACCTTTCTCTCTCTTTTTTAACCTGAAGATTCTGATAAGATGGAAATGACCTAAGCCGTTCTCGATCCCCCCCCCCACCCCAAATCAGGCAATAAAAGAGCTCAAGAAAAGAGTTGGCCATTATGCAGAGCTCTCTTTGAGTCTGGAATGCTGAATGTTCAAGTTCTTTCACACTGAAAGCCTTCAAAGCACTTTCTTAGGAGAAAAAGTACCACCCTCTCATGTCCCTGAAAGAAGTCCCTTTTCGAACCAGTGGGCATGGCTTCTCCTATTGAGGCATCACATGTTTCTCAAGCACACATTGTCTGCCTTGCACTTCCGATCCTTCAGTGGAGGGAGAAGCCTGGTCTCTGTGTACAGCTCAAACAGAAAATGCCCTGAAACCCACAAGGCGGTTGTCTCAGCTTTCCTAGTGAAACGCCAACATTGCTGTGTACTTAATTGTCCAGTAAATGAAGCAAATGCATAGCGACCCTTTGGAAAGGGGCCTGACACAGATACGTGAATGTATGTGTACACACGTGTGTCTGGCACTTGGCTGTCTCTTCAGTCTTCAGCACAGAATTCTAGTATTCTATGCTCCAGCGTTCTGCTGTATTGCTAGAGTTTAACCTTCAATCTCCTGCTGTTATACCTTGTTAATAGAGTAAGAGAGCCAGCCAGGTGGCATGGTGGTAAAGGCGATCAGATCCCACATGGCCAACTGTATTTGAAAAACTTCCCTGGCACTTGTGTGTGTGTGTGTGCCCAAAATCATGAGAGGAGAATGGAAAAGGGATTGTGATATGGTCATCCCCCTGGGGGTGATTTCTTTCTTTCTCTCTCCAGTGAGCACACGCAACTTCTAGCAAATCAAAATATATATGTATAAATCAGAAGAAATTTTTTTTCTTTAATTACTAGAAGGTATGTACATTCACCAGCAAGAAAGAGAGCGAGAAGAGAGAGCCTCCAGTGAGGTGTGGTCATGCCATAATCCTCTTTCCTCCTTTTCTCCAGCCTATCAGGATTTTGGACACATACCACACATGCTTGGAGTAAGAAAAAAAAATGTATAGACAAGCCAGAGATTTACTTTAAAGCCTTCATACCCAAAATGTGACCCAGCAGCATTGGCATCTCCTGGTAATGTTTCAGAAGTCTGGTACAAAGCTTATCGAATTGGAATTTTAACAAGCTCCTTAAAGGTTAGGATACACATTAAATTTTAAGAAGTACTGTATGCATCAGATGTCCTCTGCTCACTTAGAACATGTTTAAAATCCCCACCAGGATCCTTGGGGATCCGACTCCAGTAGAAGATGAAAACTGCCTTGCAATGTGAAACTCGGTTCCTGGCCCCAGTAGAGAGCCAGCTATTGGCGTGAGGACCCCTTCTGCATGTGTTAGTTACAAAATTTCCTAAAACAAAACAGAGCAAAATAAAAAACTGGTCAATAACATATGTGTCTGATGTACGTATCAGATAGTTTTTTCAGCACTTGTTGAACCCCTAGTGAGTCTTCAGCTCTTAGATGGTCTCAGATGTTTATAACACCAAGCATGACAGTAATGCAAAGTGCAATAGCGTACTTAGACGTTTTCTAAAGCCAGTGCTCAGAGGAAAGGGAAGGGATGGAAATCTCTTTCC